TGCAAGGATGGTACAATAGTCGCAAATCAATAAATGTAATACATCACATAAAAAAAAGGAAAGACAAAAATCACATGATTACATAAATAGATGCAGAAAAAGCATTTGATAAGGCACAGCACCCATTTATGATAAAAACACTCAGCAAAGTGAGAATAGAGGGAGCATTTCTCAACATAATAAAGGCCATATACAAGAGACCTACAGTCAACATCATACTCAATGGGCAAAAACTAAAAGTTTTCTCACTAAGATCAGGAACAAGACAAGGATGTCCACTTTCACCAGTCCTATTCAACATAATATTAGAAGCCACAGCAATCAGACAAGAAAACAAAATAAACATACAAATTGGAAAGGAGGAAGTAAAACTTGTCATTGTTTGCAGATGACATGACAATGTACCTAGAAAATCCTGTAGACTCAACCAAAAAACTACTTGACCTAATAAGTGAATTTCCTAAAACAGCAGGATACAAATATTCAGAAATCAAAGGCATTTTCGTATCCCAACAAAGAAATATCAGAAACAGAAATTAGGAAAAATCCCATTTGATATAGCAACAAGAAAAATAAAGCACCTAGGAATAAACCTAACCAAGGAGGTAAAAGACCTGTACTCAGAAAACTATACAACACTGAAGAAAGAAATTAAGGAAGCCACAAATAAATGGAAGCATGTACCATGCTCATAGATTGGAAGAATTAACATCATCAAAATGGCCATACTACACAAAGTGATTTACAGATTCAATGCAATCCCTGATAAAGTACCAATGACATATTTCACAGATATAGAACAAACATTTCAGAAATTTATATGGAATCATAAATGACCCCGAATAGTTGCAGCAATTTTGAGAAAGAAGAACAAAGCAGGAGTGATCACAATACCTAATATCAAACTGTATTACAAGGCCACTGTAATCAAAACAGCCTGGTACTAACAAGATCAGACACACAGATCAATGGAACAGAATAGAGAGTCCAGAAATAAACCCAAATCTTTATGGTCAATTAATATTTGACAAAGGGGGCAGAAGCACAAAGTGGAGTAAAAATAGCCTTGTTAACAAATGATGTTGGGAGATCTGGACAGCTACATGCAAAAAAATGAAACTCGATCACCAACTTAACGCCATACACAAAAGTAAATTCAAGGTGGATAAAAGACTTAAATATAAGTAATGACACCATAAAACTCCTAGAGGGAAACTTTCAGATATTCCATGCAACAATATTTTCACCAATATGTCCCCTAGAGCAAGGGACATAAAGGAAAAAATAAACAAATGGGATCTCACCAAAATAAAAAGCTTCTGTATGTCTAAAGAAAACATCATTAAAATGAAAAGAGAACCAACTATATGGGAAAACATATTTGCCAATGATACCTTGAACAACAGTTCGATCTCTAAAATAGATAAAGAACTCACATGACTCTACTCCAGGAAGACAAACAACTCAACTAAAAAATGCGTAAAGGACATGAACAGACACTTCTCCAAAGAGGACACACAGAGGTCCCAGAGATATATGAAAGGATGTTCAGCATCACTAGCCATCAGACAGATGCAAATTAAAACCACAATAAGATACCACTTCACACCAGTCAGAATGGCCATCATAAACAAATCAACAAACAAGTGTTAATGAAGATGTGGAGAGAATGGAACCCTAGTACACTCTTGGTGGGAATGCAGACTGGTAAAGCCACTGTAGAAAAGAGTATGGAATTTCCTCAGACACGACATGTAAACCAATGGGCAAAAAGACAGACATGAAAACTGATGGGCATAAAGACAGACGTGTAAACCAACGGGACAGAATAGAGGTCGACCTAAAGTCTCAAATGTATGGTTGAAGGATTTCTGACATTGGTGACAAGATCATCTTTTCAACAAATGGTAGTTGAGAAAACTGGATATCTACACACAAAAATAAAGTTGGACCACTCCTTATACCATATGTAAAAATTAACTCATAGTATATCATAAACCTAACCATAAGAGCTAACGCTGTAAAACTCTCAGAAACACTGTGACATTGGATTTGGCAATGATTTCCTGGACATGGCAACTAAAAAAGATTTGTTAAACTCAATAAAAATGTAAAATTTTTATGCATTAAAAGACACAATCAATAAGAGTAAAAAGGCAACCCTTGAAATGGGAGAAAGTATGTGCAGATCACCTACCTGATACAAGATTGATATCCACCATATATAAAGAACTACTATAACTCAACAACAAAAAACTCAATTAAAAACTGAGCAAAGTATTTGAAGATATTTTTCTAAAGAATACAAATGGCCAGTAAGCACATCAAAAAATACTCCATATCATTAATCATTAGGGAATTCAAATCAAAACCGCCATGTGGAATCACCTTATATCCATTAGAGTGGCTTTTTATCAAATAAACAGAAAACAAGTGTGGGCCAGGATGCTAAAGAATCAGAATATAAAACAAAGCAGCTGTGAAAGACACAGCAGTTCCTTAAAAAAATTAACATAGACCAACCATATAGCCAAGAAATACCACTTCTGAGTATATACCCCCAAAAAGTGGGAACAGGGACTGGGACAGATATTTGCACACCAACATTCATAGCAGCATTACTGACATGCTGCCAAAGAACCTAAATGCCCATTCGAGCATGACTGGATAAACGGAATGTGGTATATACATACAATTAAAAATTAGTCAGCCTTCTTTAACAAAAGAAATTCTGACACATGCAATAACACAGATAAATCTTGAAGACATTATACTGACAAAAGGACAAATGCTGTATAATACTATTTATCTGAGGTCCTGAGAGTAGTCAAATTCATCGAGACGCAAAATAAAATGGAGGTCGCCACGGCCTGCGGAGAGGAGACATAGGGTGCTGGCGGTTCACAGGGACAGGGTTTCAGCTTCGTGAGATGGAAAAGTTCTGGAAATAAGTGGCTGGTGATGACCACACAACAATGTGAAGGTGCTTAATGCCAGAGCTGTACACTTAAGAGTGATTAAAGTGGTTAAACTTATATTTTACCAGAGTAAAACAAAAAATAGTTATGTTATATTCAGGAAAACAATTCCATATTTAAGAACGCTTCGGAGTCATATTCTTGGCGTGAGCCTCCCTACTGCGCCCTCCCCTACCTCCGTCCCAATGTGCTGACTCATCTGAATAATCCCATCTTCCTCCAAAAATTGTGGCTAACAATTTCCTAGCTTGTTTCATGATTAGGACTGCCAGGTTTAGTAAATAAAAATACAAGACACCCAGTTATACAAGGGAGACCCAAATAAACCCAGTCTTTATTTATAAAAAATTGTGTATTTATTCTTACATGTTTAAATTTCAGTCACCTTCAAAGTACTCTCCATTCAATGTAATAGACATATCAAGATGTTTTTTCCACTGCTCAACAGTTTTTGAACTCATTGATTTTGATGCATTTTAGTGCTTCTGCCGCTGTTTTGTTTCACCTCTTCCAGATCAGCAAAACGTTTCCCACTGAGAACTTTTTTCAAAAAAAAGATAATTCCGATTTTCTTGGGGTTCCCCCTTGTACTTGAATTTACAATTAGTAATTTTTACATAGACAATGAATATTTTTAATGTAAGTATTTCCCATGTAATATTTTGGATATGTGATACTAAAAAACAAAACTATTACTTGTTTATCTAAAATTCAAATTTAACTGGGTGCCTATGTTTCATTTGCCTACCCTACAAATGATCCAACAGTTCCTGTGATCTGTATGTGCTGCTTATTCAACACCATTGATTCAAGAGCTACTTTTATTGATACATTAATTTTTTATTGACATTTAATTTGTTGATATATTACTCAGCATCATTCTTCTCATTTTTACATAAGCAATCAGGTTATTTATTCCCATTCCTGCTTTCTTATCACTTCCAATTTTTACAAGTAATGTTAAGATACTTTCTCTCTCCAAATCATTTTAACACATTTTGAATACTAAATGTGTGTGCCACGCAGCAGCTTTTGGTAGTAGAAGGATGTACCTTGAAAAGTCATCAATTCTAATTTTATAATTACAAAAATCCTTGTCTTACAGACATGGGCCTATCCACATATAAGAGGGGACCTCAAAAACCGGAATTATCTTCTGGAGGGTGGGCCCCTTATAGTACAGACCTTCCCTGCTAGGTGAGTGTTCCAGAAACCCATCTGTACCAGCTGTTGTTGTTGTGAGAGGCTGCATCTGGCTTCAGTGAATTTTTTTTGAAGACTCTTTCAACCAGTTTGCCTATTTCGTGATGGGTAATATATGAATGCATCTGCCCACACCACACTGTGTTCAGCAGTTTTTGACCAAAAACAGCATGACCCCCTTGCACCACCCTGGCTATTCACCCAATCTCCCCCTGAGCAACTTTTTTGTCTCCCTGGATAAAAAATGTCCTCAAAGGGAAATGGTTTGTGGATATAGATGAGGTGAAACAAAAAATGGCAGAACCACTAAGAGGCAGCAAAATCAGAGTTCAAAAACTATCTTGAGCAATGGAAAAATGTCTAGATATGGGTATTGCATCAGATGGAGAGTACTTTAAAGGTAACTGAAGTTTAAACATGTAAGGATAAATACAAAACTTTTCATAAGTAAGTTCTGGGATTTTGGGGGGTGTCCCCCCTCATATGCTCCTCTTGGAGTAGAACTGAGCCACTGTGCTACCGGGACCCGGACGGGTATTTTCAGTTATACGAGTGTTGCGGTCTGGCCCTGGATGGAGCCATGGAGCCCTCACACCTGCCTGCCTGTCAGCGCTCTACCACCTAAGACAACGCTGAAACAGACAAACTTTCAGAAGGACTGCTGCAGGCCCCTCCTATTCCAGGTCACAGGCAGAAGGAAAGAATGTGTTCCTGTGTTGCAAGGGACTGTGAGCCCCTTGGTCTGAGAGCTAATCAGGACTAGTGACTACCTGTAGGAAGACAGGTGAAGATCAAAGCAAAGATCTGGCTTGCTTTTACCTGGAGGGGCACCACCCTGGACATCAGGTGGTCAAAATAAAGGTCCACTGCTTCAGTGAAGCCCTTGTAAGTTGTTCTCAGCCTCATGCCAGAATCTTGGAGTAACCAGCTGGAATAAAAAAAGGGTTGGTGGTGATTAGTTCCACAGTTGGTGGGTTTGCTCTCAGCAGGGCGATGGTGGAGTGAAAAGGAGTGGCTCCAGAGCGCCCAGTGATGAGGCTGGAGACGACTCCCAGCCACGCCCTCTACTCAGCCAAAAGAGCACATTATTTCAGGGACCACAAGCACAGGAGCAGGTGGCCCAGCCCCAGCCCTGGAAGCTGCTCAGCTTCCCTGACTGTGGACACCAGCCCTGAGGGCAACTCGGGTCCAGCTTCATAGAGACAGGTCTGACAGCCAGGCAGAGTGAGAAGAGCTTCCCACTGGACATGAGGCCCTGTTTTCGAGCTTTCCCTCCACAGTCTCATGACAAAGGCATTAGGCCAGGATGGGAGGACACAGAGGCAGCCTCCTGTATCACCCAGAACCACCAGTATGAAACAGAGGCTGCTTCTCCTGCTCTGCTCCAGCTGCCATTCATGCTGACCTGGCTCATTTGCATCATTTGCATCAACTGTTCAGAGCTCAGCTCTGGAACAGAGGGCAAGTGAGCTGAGTGAGAAGGTTAATTCTTCCCACAGCCAGTCTGCAGTGACCCCATGTCCCAGATGTACGCTGGGCATTAGTTTCAGAGCAGGATCAAGGACTTAAATCTCATTTGAAATTCTGAGAAAGGACTTAATATTTTTTTACAAAAGGTCCTGATTTAGAAGTCCTGCATAGGGTCAGAACAGTATCAATTTGTGTTAGGTCAGAACAGATGAGGAGAGAGGAGTCTCCCCCAGAGGGGCACTGCCACTTTCCACCTTGCCTCTAACAGGTCCAGCATCTCCTCCCCACTGGCAGTCTGCCTGCAGGCTGGTGCGCCCCTCCGCCTGCCAGGGTCTTCCCACCAGCCCATCCTCCATGCAGCCAGAGCCTGAATGGACAGGTCTGCACAAAGGTCTGAGTGCTGGACGCCTCACTGCTTCTGAGCTAAGTAAGACTTAAATCCTGTCCACCTGTCCCGCTCTGGCTGAGCTGGAGATTTCTCGCTGACACATAGTTTTCTAATCCCCAGGTCTGGGGGAGGCTACTTGGGCTGTGTTCACAGCCTCGCTGAGGGCACCTTGCCAAGATGAATGGCACAGCAACAGAGAATTGACCCCGGGTAGTGAGGAGATAGAAACAGGCCTGCCAGGGCCCCTGGGGCAGGGCTGGTAGTGCTGGAAACAGAGATAAAAACAAGGCAGAGATGGGGGCTGTGCCGGAGGAGCCACGAAGCGTCCCTCAGGAGACAGCATGGCCAACAGGGTCAGCCGCCCCTTTGGGGCACATGGGGTAGAGGAAGAGCAGCTCCAACCGCCTGGAATGTGGTGAAGATGGGAAAGACTACCCTAACAAATATATTTCATGAAAACAAAGGCGACACCAACCAGGACGAGGGGTGAATGTGGGTGGTACTGGGAGCCTCCACCCCTGCCACACAGCACTCCACAGTCGTCAGTGGACACCACACACCCTAAGATCAATCACTGGGGCCCAAGATCGGAAGACAGGAGATAAAAACAAAAGCAACAATCTGTTTTTCTTACACTTTATCAGGATACTTGAACTTTAAAAAAATAAGCACTGATAATATCCTTAAGGAGGAGGCAGGCAGGTTTGAGGCTTCCTCTGTGGTAGAGTGCAGCCCAGAGCAGATCTGTGGCCTGACTGAAGGCCAGACTCACAGCAGAGCCCTGAGCCTGGGGAGGTGCAGGGCCTGGGGATGGCCAGCCCTCTGCTGCTGCCTCCACGTTAACAACAGAGGGAACTAGACAAGGACAATAGTGGTCATGTCATTTAAAATGACCCCCTTTGGGCACTATTTATTCTGAAAAGGAACTTCAGTATGAAATAGGAAAATATACTTTAAAGACAAAATTAAACCTTTTTGTGTGATTTACTTTTTACATGAGCTATGGCCAGAGGCCTTCATGGCCCCACTCACCTGGGCAAGCCGCCAAGGTCGATCTCACTGCAGATGTAGGGGCCTGGACGCAGAACCACCCACAGCCCAATCTCAGCAGCCATCAGGACAAAGGCTCTGGGAAGGTCAAGGTCAGCCACTCTCAGGACACCAGGGCAGAGGGTGGGGACCAGCCCAGCACACACACCTGCATCCCCCTCCCAACCAGAGACAGGGTGAGAGAAGGGAAGGCTGAGCCCCTGCCCCTAGCAGAGCAGGAGATCCCACACTGGTGGTCACAGGCCACAAACCCTGGCAGCTGGGTTCTCACTGGCTCCCAGACTAGGACCATCTGCACAGCCCACCGGGTCATGAGGAGGAAGGTGTCACACAGGGGACAAGGGTCCTAACAATGAACCTGGCCCCAGTGGCCTTGCTGCCCTCCAGGGGCAATCCCTGTCCCAGCACAGGGGGCTGGACCCCATGGCACAGCAGGGCTGACATGGGACCAGGCACCTCTAGGCTGCAGTGGGCAGAGGGGTGCTCAGAGGAGGCAGGCCCGCACACCCGGGGGTAACAGGCACAGCTGGAGAGCATCAGGTCCTGAGTGCAGAGCCCATCAGTGTCCAGAGAGCAAGGCTCTGACCCCAGTCTCCGTCTAGTTCTCCAAGCAGAGCTGAGATGCCACTAGGGTCCCTAACAAACCCCAGCCAGCCCCATCCTGCCTCCCAGGCCCAGGCAGGTCACAGGAGCAGCAGCAGCAGCAGCAGCAGCAGCACCAGCAGCACGTACTCCAGGTCCAGGTTCCCGGAGAAGTCAAATGTGCCCCGTTGTGGCTCGTGAAGGTTCCATGGGACATAGCTGAAACAGGAGAGATAATTTCAGGCATTTATCAGGAGACCTGATAATTTCAGGAGACCTTTTCATTTATTCCACTTCATCTCCCAGATTACCTTCTTTGTCCCTAAAAGCCCCTGTGATAGTTGCAGATGTATTTCCAGGCACACTGTCTCACTTGTCAGGATTGGGACCAAGAACTAAGTGCAGAGATGAGGGGCCTTAGAGCACCCAGGGCCAGCCCCTGGGGGACTAGGAGCCCCCTGCTGGGGCAGAGGGGGAGGAGGCCAGCAAGATGTGAAGACAGCTGAAGCACAGGGCGCAACCACAAGGCAGCTGTGCTGCCCTCTTCCCACCCTCCTGCCCTCTCTCTCTCCACTGGAGAAAAAGAAGTAACTTCACAGGAAAAAACAGTTAAAAGTAGAGAAGAGAACACAATTATCAGTCCTATATTTCATGGAAGCATTAAGCTCCAAACCCTGTAACAGAATGGACTTCTAACTCTAAAGAGATGAGGAGATGAAGCAAGCTCTCTGAGGGGCAGACTCAGAGGCAGAGGCACAGAGTGACCTGTGATGACAGTAATGGCAGCCGCTCCTCTCCTGGACTCCCAGTCCCCGCCCCCCGTGCCTGGTGGGGAGGGGGGTGCCCCAAGCGTAAAGACTGTGCAGGTAAAGCAGAAGGGGTGCTCGCCTGCTTCTGACTCAGACCCAACAGCAAAGGTAGACTACCCTGCTTTCCCAAGGCAGAATGGCTGTCCTGCGTATTCCCACAAGTCCTGTGAGGTGTGAACGTACCCCTGGGGTCAGAACTTACATATGCAAACAAAGACCCTTGTAAGGATTCTAGAAAATTACACACATTTGTTTCAACTGCGCTGTCATAGCTCAGAATACTCTTGTAGCTCTTTTAAGAAATTGTCTTCAAAGCCAGTTCGCAAATCACCCAAGAAAACTGATGTTCTTGATTAGTCATTACATTTTTGCCTGCAAACAGAACAGCCTGATAACCCACTTTATTTCCTAGACTTGGGTCCAAATATCTCCTGGCAATCTTGAAAAACAAATCCACAGGAAGATCAAACTTTGCTCACCATGAGCCCGTTCTGAAGCTAACTCCCTGTGTCGAGTGCTAGACCAGACGCTTCGGCATCTGCAGACAGTTCTGAAAGGAACTCTGCAAACTGCCCGCAGCAGTGTCCCCAGGTAGCTATTGTGAGGACTACACTCATTTCTGTACAAACTGGGGGTGGGGTGCTTATTTACAAAAATGACTTAATAACTCAATCATGTCCTACATCTATACTGTCCTCTCTGCTCGCCCTGCGTACACTGGTGCTCTTGTTGTTCCCAGACTTATCTCCAGTGCCTGTTTCTCATTGTCACCAGTGGGGACTAGTGGGGAGTGCTGCAGGGATCAGGAAGGGCAAATGTCTTCCTGTCGGATGCTCCGATCCAGGCTCTGGCAGGGCTCACCCACCTTGCCTGGCAGGCTGGAAGTCCCCAGGCTGGGCTCCCACGAAGAAGCCCAGACTCAAGCTGGAGCCCCATGGGGAACGGGCTTAGGGGTGGGGTGGGCAGCACTCACGTGGTGAGGGTGTTCAAACCACAGGCTTTCATCTTCAGCAAGCGGTCCCTCCAGTAAGCCTTGGGCACCCGAAAATAGTGCACAGAGCCCCCGAAGATCCAGAAGGTGGAGTCCTCCAGCATAAAGTTCTGACCCTGGGTGTGCAGCCCGGACTGCCGGCGTCTCCGCCAGGGAGAGAGCATATGGTGCCAGTCCAGCCTGCAAAAAGCAAAGGCATCCAGGAGGCCCAGAGGCTCACCTGCAGCAGCTAGCAGGAACACCACAGAGACCGGCTTCCTCTCCTCCTCTGCAGGCTCTCAGCATCTTTTTCTCAGGAGGGCCTGTTTCCAGGGCCTTCAGAAAAAGCGCCCATCCACCACCTTAGCCCAGCCTTGCAAGGAGACCTGCTTCAGCACCACTGACTCATCTGGTCAGCTGCAAGGGACATGCAAGCTGAGGCCACACTCAGGAACCAAACATGACACTGGACACGGAGACTGTGCTGACAAGAGGGGGACAAGGTGGGTACACAATGCATGGGAAGGAAGTGGCAGTGGGCTGAGAAGCTGCTTCAGGAGCAGGGGACTTGCGGGGACCCTGGAGGACCCAGGAACAGGTCTGCAGGTCTCCTAGGCTTTGATGTTTTGACTAAACATCAAAGCAGCAACTATTTCAAATAGTACCTCTGAGTCACCTCATGGTCACAGCTTCTCGGCTTGAGGAGCAAATACCTGTAAGGAGGTACCCAGGTTAGAAACAGCATCTGTTCATTAACCAAGTTTCCAGGTCTTACTTACCATCTAAAGAGCAAGTGTCTTTTTGGCTAAGAGATGATCCTGCATGACAGAAAGCTCCACCTGGGGAGGCTGTGGAAAAGTTTTAGTCCCTAAAAAAGCACCTTTTGACATCTCTCAGGTTGGCCAAGAGGAGCCTGGGATTCAGTGCTCAGTCTCCTGGAGGCCATGAGAGAAAGCCAGTAAGAGAAGCTGGGGGAGCCAGAGGTTCCGGCCTCGGAGTCTGGGAAACTCTGAGACGGAAAACAACAGCGGGACTGAGTCTGGTGCAAAAGTAAATTTTTGTTGCTGCCTTTTCTATACTCACTTCCTTTGGTTTTATTTATTTGTTTTTATTTTTAATATATTTTATTGATTATGCTATTACAGTTGTCCCATTGTTTCCCCTTTATTCCCCTCTGCCCTGCAACCCCTCCCACCAGCATTCCCTCCCTCCTTAGTTCATGCCCATGGGTTATACATATAAGTTCTTTGGCTTCTCCATTTCCCATACTATTTTTAACCCCCCCATCTATTTTGTACCTACCATTTATGCTTCTTATTCCTGGTACCTCATCCCTCGTTCTCTCCCCTCCCCCTCCCTACTGATATAATTCTCCATGTGATCTCCATTTATGTGATTCTGTTCCTTTTCTAATTGTTTGCTTAGTTTTTTTTGTTTGTTTGTTTTTAGGTTCAGTTGTTGATAGTTGTGAGTTTGTTGTCATTTTACTGTTCATAATTTTGACCTTCTTTTTCTTAGCTGAGTCTCTTTAACATTTCATATAATAAGGGCTTTGTGATGATGAACTCCTTTAATTTGACCTTATCTGGGAAGCACTTTATCTGCCCTTCTATTCTAAATTGTAGCTTTGCTGGATAGAGTCATCTTGGATGTAGGTCCTTGCCTTTCATGACTTGGAATACTTCTTTCCAGCCCCTTCTTGCCTGAAAGATTTCTTTTGAGAAATAAGCTCATAGTCTTATGGGAACTACTTTGTAGGTAATCGTCTCCTTTTCTCTTGCTGCTTTTAAGATTCTCTCCTTATCTTTCATCTTGGGTGACGTAATGATGTGCCTTGGTGTGTGCTTCCTTGGGTCCAACTTCTTTGGGACTCTCTGAGCTTCTTGGATTTCCTGGAAGTCTAGTTCATTTGCCAGATTGGGGAAGTTCTCCTTCAATATTTTTTCAAATAAGTTTTCAATTTCTAAGCCCTGGCTAGTGTAGCTCAGTGGATTGAGCACAGGCTGTGAACCAAAGTGTCGCAGGTTCGATTCCCAGTCAGGGTACATGCCACGGGTTGTAGGCCATGACCACCAGCAACCGCACATTGATGTTTCTCGCTCTCTTTCTCCCTCCCTTCCCTCTCTAAAAATAAATAAATAAAATCTTAAAGAAAAAAAAAAGCTGACCCTAGTTCTTGGGCTAATCTGAATATGGGATAACTAGTTTTAAAAAATAAATAAATAAGTTTTCAATTTCTTGTTCTTCCTCAACTCCTTCTGGAACCCCTATGATTCGGATCTTGGAACATTTAAAGTTTTCCCAGAGGTTCCCAAGCCTCTCCTCATGTTTTTGAATTCTTATTTCTTCATTCTGTTCTAGTTGAATGTTTATTTCTTCTTTCTGGTCCAATTTGTTGATTTAAGTCCTGGTTTCCTTCTTGCCACAGTTGGTTACCTGTATATTTTGTTTTATTTCACTTTGCATAGCCTTCACTTCTTCCTCTATTTTGTGACCATACTCAACCATTTCTGTGAGCATCCTGATTACCAGTGTTTTGAAAACTGCATCTGATAGGTTGGCTATCTATTCATCGCTTAGTTCTATTTCTGGAGTTTTGATCTGTTCCTTCATTTGGGACATATTTTTTTTGTCTTGGCAAGATGGAGGCATGTGCAGATACACTTTGCCTCCTTGTACAACCAAACAAGGGAAAACAACAAATTTAAAGACAAAAAATAACTAGAACTGCCAGAAAATTGAACTGTATGGAAGTCCTACAACCAAGGAGTTAAAGAAGAAGCACACATCCAGACTGGTAGCAAGGGTGGAGACAGGCAGCTGGGGTGGAAAGGACTTGCGGCAAGGTGGTAGCTGGCCAATCAGGCAGTCCCACATTTGCAAGTAAATAAACCGGGAGGAACAACTGGGGAGAGAGACAGACTGTGCAATTCAGGGTTCCAGCACAGGGAAATAAAGCCTCAAAACCTCTGACTGAAAAAACCGATAGGGGTTGAGGCAGCAGGAGAAACTCCCAGTGTCACAGGAGGGTTCATTGGAGAGACCCACAGGGTTCCAGAATGGACGCAAACCCACCCACCTAAGAATCAGCACCAGAAGGACCCAATTTGCTTGTGGGTAGCAGGGGGAGTAACTGAAAGCTGGCACAGGGCTGAGTAAGTGGCATTGTTCCCTCTCTGACCCCTCCCCCATATATAGTGTCACGCTCTAATGACCAGATGCCCTGCCCTCGCGAATACCTAAGGCTCCACCCCTTACAGTGTAACCGGTACACACAGACCAAAAATAACCTGCTTCTCATTACAGTTCCTGACACTAGATGGCATCTGTCAGCAGGGTTCTTCTGCTTTAAAACAAAACAAAACAAAATACCCACCTCCTTCATTTGGTAACACTGACTAAAATGGTACCACCGGAGCCTGTGTCTGGCTTAAGGCCCAGCTTAATCCAATCAGTATTGATACACACTGATTAGGGACAGTCACCTCTTAGAAGAAACAGACACATGTGAACCAAGAGTGGGCTGAGAGCAGCAATCTTGATTCTGGACTCAGCAACTTTCTGTGCCTTTCAGAGGGGCAGCTCCTTCCCAAAGCTTCCATGTGGACTCACAGTAGGCGTCACGGGGAAACAGGGCACATGCGAGTCACACCCCTGTTGTTGACTCTTCCAGTGCACACGTTCAGTGTCCCATCATGCCTGTTCTCTCTCCATCTTGGCCACCAGCACTGATGCTCCGCTGGGTCCTTTCCCTACATATCAGCCAGCTTCTCCTCTACCTACAATGCCAAGTGCTTCAGTGCTGAACATGAGCTTGCATACCCTTCCCTGTAAAGCAGCGAGAGCCCTGCTATTAATGGCACCACCACTGCTACCAGCATGTAGTAAAAACCCAGGGCAATTTGCTCCCGCTCCTCAGGAAGCTCACTCCCCTCCTACCCACATTCCTCCAAACCGCACATGATGGTTCTCTTAAGGAGTTCTGATGCCAGAATCTTCTCCACCACCCTCCACATTCAGATAACTACACTTCAGTGCCATGAGTACTGCTGTGAAGCACACACAGAGATGTGACCAGGGCCAGGAGAGCAGCATGGGCCATAGACACCACTGACCATGTGGCCACTCATGGACAGAGAGAACATATGGGCTGAAAGCCACAAACATTTTCTAACTGGCCCTTTACCAGAAACCCTGCCACAGAGGATGAGGCCCTGGATACTGAAAAGAGGGGCCAGGCCCCTGTGGCCACTGTCTAGGCCTTTTTTCAGCCACAACTTCATTTTGGTTCTTCCCACCTGGCTCTTGCCTTTGGCTACAAGCTACTGACCAGTCTGGTTCTCCCACACCTCACACAAGGGAGAGTTCATCTCCCTTAGTTTTGACCATAACTGCTCCAAAGAACACACTCTGCCTTCCTGCTTCCTGTGCCCCTGAGCCTCCCATATGAGAAAATGAGGTTGACCAGAGTGGGGCTCTGCAGGGAGCTCACTGGGGGACTGAGACAGCGCACACTAGAGCTTCACAGATGATGCAGCACTGTCAGTGCAAACGGCACCAGCACCAAGAGTGGCCATCAGCACTAGTAATGACCTCCATTGCTTCCTGACTAATTCTGAACTCACAAAATCAACACAAACTGTGTGGAGAAATCAGGTTGGGGAGACGCTCCTTGTCAATTAGGCTCATTACCAAGGAGCTTAACCAAATCTGAGGAAGAGGGATTTTTTCCTGTCTTTTTTAAAAAAGACTTTATTTTCAGAAAGAGGGAAAGAGAGGGAGATAGAAGGAAAGAACATCAGTTTCTCACCTCTCACATGCCCCCAACTGCTGACCTGGCCCGCAACCTAAGTATGTGCCCTGACAGGGAATCAAACTGACGACCTTTCAGTTTGCAGGCCAGCGCTCAGTCCACTGAGCCACACCAGTAAGGGTGGAAGAGAATTTTTTACCGCTGCTTTTCTAGTGAGCAGCCCATTCATGATTAAACTCTTCTTAATGAGGCCAGCAATATCAAGCTTCCTCCTACTTGGAGCTTATTTCTAGAATCTCTGTTGCCTTTTTCTCCTTGTGTCATGGCAGGATAACTTTTCGGTCTGACAATAAATAAGAGCAGGCCCCAGTCACTGAAGGGGCCAGGCTACAGTTTGCTCTGCTCAGAGCCACGCACCGTTCACAGCCCACAGCGAGGACCCTGGCAGAAGGCACACACGTCAGGACTTCTGATGGGGCCTCCACACCCCTGTGCTAACATCCCTTCTGGCAAGTGCAAGCTGGAGACATCAAAGGTTGGAAAGGAAACATTAAGCAGAGGACTTGGGTGCTGAGATCCCTATGGTGAGGAACTGTCATCAGGTGGTGATTGGTGAAGGAGGAGAGACAGAGGGATGAAGCCTTCTTACACTTCACTGATCCTAGTAGTGGATCACAAGGACAAAGGACACAGGGCAAGCTCCACGTGGGCTCGATATCACTGGACACAGTCAAAAGTGCTGGGTGGACGTGTCGGCATGGAAAGAAGCTGATGAGCAGGGGGCAGGCTCACAACCTCTTCCATGAGGAATGGGCCCATGAGCTCTCAGCTTTCAGAGAGGGTCTTCCAGGGTGGCTCGGGCTGGAGAAGAGCCAGATCTAGTCACCCACTTGAATGATCTCCTTGAATGAGTTGTGCTAATCCTCACAAGTCTGAAATATCTCTTGCCATGCCAGAGGG